TGAGAATCGACATGTTTATGAGGGTTTTGTGCGCGCATGCGCATTGAAGAGAATGCAGTACCTGGGCTTAGTGTGCCTGTCGAAGGTTGGATTATATTATTTGGAAGAAAATTTTTCCGGAAAAGAGGGCTAAGGACTACCTAGTAAATTTTAGTGAACATTGAAATGTAATCGTCTTTATTGTGGCAAAGGCTTGTCTGAATTGAGTCCCGACTTTTGTTATCGTATTTATTTTTTGACCGATTATCTAGATTACAAATTTGTTTCGTTATCCAGGTATGGTGGAATTTATCTTGATTCTGATATTGTAGTCATGAAACCTCTATCCTCGCTTCAAAATTCTGTTGGGATGGAGGATCAGCTTGCTGGAAGTTCTTTGAATGGGGCAATAATGGTATTTAGAAGGCACAGGTATGTGGCAGTTTAAAAGGCATCGGTTCTCTGGAAATTCATTTTCTGCTCACGAGTCGTCTATGTTATTATAACAGAATTAATTTTTCTTTTCTGAAAACATATTGGTTGATAGCATCCTCACTAATCTACTTTGAATGAACACCTCCTCCAACATACAAAGAAGCTTGCATGACACAAGAATATGCCCTCTCCCTTGAAGGAAGGATGCAAAAACACCTCCTCCAACATACAAAAAATGAAAAGATTAGGGATCGGATCAAGTGTTTTGCACAGGACAAAATTGAAATTGATTTTCCTTAAAAAATTAATGTTTTCTAAGCTTGCGGACTTTTGTGGGTTAAGAGATTGCTGCCACCATGTCTTCTAAGCTTAAATGTTTTCACTCTTTATGCACCCCTTTTATAGAAATTCATGTCATCTACGCTTATGAGCTATTAAGGTTTTAAAGCTTACTTCCATATATATACATACGGAGGCCCTGATTAGTTTAGATTTTTTTTGAGCTATATCTTTGTCTCTTTTCTACAGCCCCTTTATAATGGAGTGTTTGAAAGAATACTATTCGACTTATGATGATAGAAGTTTTAGATGGAATGGGGCCGAGCTCTTGACCAGAGTTGCAAAGAGGTTTTCCAAAGAAGTGCCGACAGAACAGTTTGAGCTTAATGTGCAGCCATCTTTTGTGTTCTTTCCCATTGCCTCACAGAATATCACTAGGTAATTTCTGATTTATTTTCTCGTTCATCTTATGCCTTATATATGTGTGTGTATTTTTTTTTTCATATGTATGTTTGTATGTATTTTATTATCATTCCTTTTCCAAAATAACCGCTCTACATTCCCCTCCACTTCCTAAAAAGGTTCTCTAACAAACTGCTGACCCCTAGTTTTCCTTTTGACACTGCTTGCATACCTATTTACAATTATAGGTTTTTTTTACCCTTTCTCACGTACGCATTTACAGTTGGAGGCTTAACAAAGTCTTCTCACTTGAGGGAATTAGAAAGCAGAACAGTCACAAAACAATCTGCACAAAGAGAGGCTACAAAGATAGCAGATTTCAATATGACAGTCTAGAAATTCTCCTTCTCAAGGAAAATCCTCAGTTTCCAATCTAATGTCCTAAAAGATAGCCACAACATTGAGCTCTGGAAGATGGAATTATGGAAACGGCTGTCTGATAAAAAAAATGACTTCCACGTAGTTTCAGAGAGCACTTCTTTAGTTGAAAATTCCCCCTTCCCGTTTATATAAGTTCTCTCCTGCAGCTAATAAACATGTGGGGCCTGTCTATTCCCTGTCTTAAGCCTCGAAAAGAACCATCCTCTACTACAGACTTCATATGTCTGTTGGTTCTGTATATGTGGGTAGCCTTTAAAGAACTATGGTACAATTAAACTTCCATGTCACTGATCACTGTACAAAGGCTTGTCTCCGCTTAATCAATCAATGATCAATGAAAAAAGAAAATGAAATTAGGTTCAAATAAGCAAATCTGTCAACGGTAAAAGAAGGTTTGGGAGCACAAGATTTTGAGTGTTATGTATCTACCATTTCACCACCTTGCCAAGACATTTTAATTATATCCCTGGTCGATGAATCTATTCTAGTTTCAACAAATTCTTAGAATTTTAGGTGGGATGGGCATTGTAATTCTTTCTACTTTTCTGAGTATAATGATTGATTGTGAAGTGGGTTGGTGTTCTTCCTGATCTCCATCTCCTATGCTGCGTCTCACCATGAAAACACGATGAAAAAAATAAAAATGTCTATATGGTATTACTTGCTGATTTGTGAGTTTAAGAGATCGGATGTCTCAAGTATGGCCTTTAAAACTTGCTGAGTTTTACTGGTGCCTTTTGAAGATAAGTAGAACAATCTAGGGAACGTTTGACTTAAGGGAAGGTCTCGTGAGTCGTAACTAAATATCAGCCTAGAAAATTGATTCAAGGGGATTCTACTGGGATTGGTTTTCCGGTAGCGGAATCAGAAGGTTAGAAGGCTCTTTTTAAGACTTCAATCACTCCTGTTTCTTTTGCTCCATCTCACAGCGTTAATAGTCCCTTGACGCATTGAATAATTCCAGTTCCTCCCAATCAGCATTCTCTGAATTCTACAACATCTTTCCTGTCAATTTATCTTTTGCGGTTTTTTATTCCGTGAGAAGTCTTTTTGAAGGTTTACCCTTACCCCAGACCGCCTCCACTTTTCACCTAATTATTTTCTTGAATAGTTGACAATCCTTCTGCCATGCTTCGACAATTTTTTATTAGATATGTAGACCGGTGTTAGACCCGCTGGTGTCATATGGTGATTAGAAAATTCAGAATTCCACCATGGATCAGCACTTGCAGGAGGCACAAAATCGCATGAAGAAGTATTCTGATGGTAAGCGGAGGGAAAATTAACGTTGAGGGGACATTGGGGTTTCTTGAAGATTAAGCCCTATCGTCAGACTTCGTTAGCCGAAAGGACGAAATGAGAAGCTGACTCCAAAATTGTTTGGGTCTTATTGTGTTGAGGAACGTATTGGGCTAGTGACGTACCGTTTGAAATTTGCCTAAGGAAGCAATGTTTCATCTCGTCTTTCATGTGTCTCAACTAAAGAAAGTTGTGGGCCGTGACAATGAGATTCAAACGGGCCCTCCTATTCTCTCGGATACTTTCGGGGGCTGATGAGTTACTTGTGAGCTGGAAATTCTTTTCCTGAACATTGAGCTACCCGGACGAATGGTAAGGTATTGCTATTATGTTATTCAATATACTTGAAAAGGGAAAAAAAAAAAATGCACCAAAATACAAAAGTTCCCAGTTAAATCGAGAGGGCTGGTAATCTCTCCCCTTTTTCCTGAGAACTCTCTACAAAAATGCATAAAAAGCATGGCACTCCCTCACTCCATTGCATTATCTCTAAACTAACTTGCACCCCAATACCTTTCTTACCCTTATACTGAATTCGGATGAGGGCCTAACATCACCCCTGGGGTCACACAAACCTTGTCTTCAAGGATGTAACCAGGAAATTGCCCGCATCCGGGTGGAAGTTAGTTTAGAGTGGATGCACCAGAGTGAGGGTGTGTAGTTCTGTATATTTTGATGGGGGTGGGTAGTGCCATGCTTTTTATGCATTTCTGTAGAGAGTTTTCAGGAAAAAGGGGAGAAATTTTACCAGCCCTCTCAATTTGGCTGGGAGATTTTGTATTGCCTTGGTGCATTTTTTTTTCCTTTTCCAAGTATATTGAATAACGTAAGAGCAATACCTTTACCATTGGATTATTCAACTACTTAACCACTCACATTTTTAAGGGATTTTTAGGATGTCTTTCTATATATATATATATATATATATATTTACATTTCAAAATTATATTTCTAACAATTTTTTAACACTTAGAAAGTCATTTCAAACCTTTATCTAAAAGTGTTCTAAAGTTTAATGGAATTCCTGTTTATATTATTAATTCTTCTTTTTTGTGCAATCATCTATATTGGAATTAGATACTTTGCTGCACCAGCATCCGCAATCGAAAAGGCTAAGCAAGAGGCTCTATTGAAGAAAATTTTGAAAGACTCGCTGACATTTCATTTTTGGAACAGCCTGACATATTCTCTCATTCCCGAGTCTGAGAGCCTTGTGAGCAGACTTCTCGAACATACTTGTATTAGATGTTTTGATGTATTGTGAATTTCTCGAAAGCGTTCAAGCTTGTGGAGCATAACTTTAATAGAATTCTAGGATCCTCGTTCTTTTGTTTACATCCACGTGAGGTGGATCCGTGTTTCAGTCCTCTTTTGTATTTGAAACTCTGCATGTACATGCATACATATATGGGTTCCCGATATGATAATTGAATTAAAACTTGGACTGAAAGAAATGTTGCCATTTTAACGAGGTTCACACGAACTGGGAATTAAAGGTGGTCAACGCTGACAAATTTCAAGTTGTGTAAATTGCTTGTGGAGTAAAGAAATTGTACTTTCCTATTAGGCATAAAATTGACCTGTAATCGTGAACAATCTCTTGGAACTGAACTGACCATTTTTACCGCCCATGAAGCTGGGTTCTAAAACTGAAAGACCGACGGTATAAAACATGAAGGAAAAGTGTTCGTGTAATAAATGCTATTAGAATATTAAATATTATTTCAACTCAACTCCATATATTTGTAAATTTGTTATATATAAAAGTAAATTCCAGTATTATTTTATTTCTAAAAAGTATCTATCCAAGATTCTCGCTGTCGTGAAAACTCGAGCCGAAGTGAACAGACGATGAAATTGAAAACCAGTGCCGAAGCTGTAAAACCCAAAACCAGAGCTGTATTACCTTCGCCCAAAGAGGGAAAGAGAGGGAGACTAAATACCCGTGGGCTGAGTCCACAGTTTTGTTTTGAACTTTGCCTTTGAAGCCCTCCAATTTCCGTTTATTTCTAACCAATACCAAAATTTATTGCCATTACACGCCGTTCTACTCTGGTTTTTGCTGACAAGGACTCCCCAGTAAAAGTTGGGCATGTATAAGACATTGTTTTTTTTTTGATCTTTTCTTTTTAAATTAAAGATAAAAAATTCATAAATTGATAGTTAGGTTAGATGGGTAAGATGGTAAATTCGGAAGAGGAAGGGGGAAGAAACGGAAATGGCGAACGGAAGTGGAGAGAATGTATATGCTGAGTTCAGCCATTGGTTTTATCAAACTTTGGACTAAAGGTATGCATAATTAAGCCCCCTCCATTGTATTCCCATCCAACCTTTTCATCCTCCAAACCCCGTCATATATATACGCGTGTGCATCTCTATTTCTCTCTCGCCTTCCCTTCTTGATCGTTGCTTCATCCAACGTCCTGCCCAAGCTTCAAGCTTCCAGCTTCGGATGACATTGTGATTTACACCATTCATTCAAAACATTCAATCCCTTTTGGCTTTCGGGTATGTTTTCACAGCATTGATTGAAATCTTTTTTTCCCTCTCTTTCTTCTCTATCTCCGACTCTCTGTTGTCTTTTGTTGTTATGAATGTTGTTGACGTTTTCATCTTCAGCTTTTCTCCATAATCTAGACTGTATCGAAGTTATCTGTTCCTCTTTGTATTTGGAAATTTTCACTGTCACCTGTTAATCGATCCGCTGACAAATCATTTCCAGTGATCTGATCCTGGTTGTTTGCTTGTTTGGTTCTCTGAAGAAAGTCAAACTTTGCTTTTCACATTTTTGAATCGTTATCTTGAGGATCTCTAATTCAGCGAACAACATTTTTTTTAATGCGTTTTTAATGTTGCTTTTTCGAAGTACGGTGGAATTCTCCACTGTTAGTTTTCGACTCTGTTTGTTGCTCTGAGGTGAAGCTAACCTTATTCATGATGTTCATGTTCATTGATCAAGTTTAACCTATGTAGCTCTGTTTATGCAAGTGAATGCTATTGCACTTTCTTTCTTGACATTTCCTCGAAGGTAAAGGCCACCGGGTAGGCATTAATGCATTTGATTATGGAAGATCTTCTTGGCGCTTTGATCTTTTTTGGATCTTTATTTGATCATTGAAACTAAACTCTTTGCAGAATTTCCTTAGCAGTGGCTGGCTTCCTAATTTATTTTTATTTTTATTTTTTTCTTTATTGGGTCTGCTAAGTGTGTGGGCATTGATATTTTACTTTTGGCTATATATATCGATAAGGTCTCCTGTGTGATTTTTCATCGTTGTTCTTATTCTTTCAACCTTTGTATTTTTCTTTTAATGTATCAATTTATTTCAATTGAATCCTTGATGTGAAATTTTACATGAAGTGAAAAATAAGGTGGTTGTCATTGCCAGAAAAGACATTTGTTTTTGTATTTGAATACTGAAGTTGAATTGTCCTCAGAACACACTGCTTTTATCTTCTTGAACAGCTGTTGTGTTTTGATATTCATGTACTTGAATGCAGGATTTATTGGTTAATGCTGTAGTTGGCTGCTTGATGGAAGTTTGTTAGTTGGGTGCTTTCAGATAAATTTTCATTTGCTGCGATTGTTGATATCATTCACTTTGGAACTTCAACATTCTTCATTAAAATGTCGCTCTTGTCAAAGTTGCGCTGTATCACCATAGATGTTACTGGCACATTGATAGCTTACAAAGGAGAGCTAGGTGATTACTATTGCATGGCAGCCAAATCGGTGGGGCTACCATGCCCCGATTACAAACGTATGCATGAGGGTTTTAAATTAGCTTATAAGGAGATGGCAAAAAACTATCCATGTTTTGGATATGCAGCAAAAATGCCTAACATCGTTTGGTGGAAAACTTGCGTTAGAGATTCCTTTATCAGGGTAAGAGACAGTTATAACCGTCTAGGTATACGGGCATGGCATTTTGCAGTGAGTAGATTCACAAATATACTCATCAATGTTGATTTTGCATAGTCTGTAGTCAACAGTATTAGATTAATGGCAATCATATTTGTTAGAATTTTCTGTCCACATTCTCTTTTGAAGGCATAGCCAGTCTGAGTCAAACCCTGTTGTTATATTGTATGTTGAATGGGAAAACATACAACAACTGCTAGCTCAGAATTTAAAAAACCTTCAGACTAAAGAATTTCCGAAATTTTTATGACGTGAAAAATCTTGTTTTACCAATAGGCTGGATATGATTATGACGAGGAGACATTTGACAAGGTGTTTAGACGTATATATGCATCCTTTGGTTCATCTGCTCCTTATAAGGTGTTCGAAGATTCCCAACCATTTCTTAGATGGGTGCGTCAGCAAGGCCTTATGGTTGGCATCGTGAGTAATGCAGAGTACCGGTACCAGGATGTGATCCTTCCAGCCTTAGGCTTGAATCAGGTATGTGTGAACTCATTATGCCCTTGTTCTCCTTTTTTTTTTTTTTTTTTTTGGGTATACTTTACATCTAGATTTTTGTCTTGTGATGAGGTGGAGACGACTTTTAAAATAGGTACTTTGAAGTGAAAATCTAAGCACTCTTGAAAATTGCATTAATAAGGTGCTTTGAAAAGTACTTTTTAAGTATTAATTTTCAATTTCACTGCTAGTTGCATTTAGAAGACAAATGATGTGATAGGGTAGATGTGAATGCAAATGGCCATTACTCGTTCCCATGGTTTAACAAAAGATCTTAGAATCCTTCCTTCTTCTGATATTAGAGTTTATTGTGGCACTCTGTTTTGTTTAAGAGTATTCTTCCTGGTACACGTGCAAGTTCTGCTGACGGGTATTGTTCTTCACGAGTGTTCAGGGATCAGAATGGGACTTCGGAGTATTCTCCGGTCTCGAGGGTGTGGAGAAACCAGATCCTAGAATCTATGAGATTGCGATCGAGAGGGCTGGAAACATAGCTCCAGAAGAAGCTCTCCACATTGGAGACAGTTTGCGAAAAGATTATATCCCTGCAAAGAGCGTGGGAATGCATGGTCTGCTATTGGATAGATTTGAGACATCAGACGCCGAGGACTGGAGGAAATCTGGGGCAGTGGTGCTTCCCGACCTGATGGCTGCCAAAGAGTGGCTTCAGAATAACTGATTTGTTAAGTTATATCTGCTTCTCTTGTTATAGAGAAAAAAAAAAAAAAAAAACAGCGTAATGTTAATTTACACAAGGATTTTACCTCAGTGAATCTGCTTGAAATCATGCATCTGTAAGTGGTTGAGTCCCAATTTCACGACTGGCAGCTGATTTTTGAAAGCTTTGCTGTTTTCAATAATAAATTTTTGAGGTATGAGTATTGAACCCTATCTAATTACAAAGTTAATTTCTTACAAGAATTAAACCCTCCTTGCTCCATGCTTTTCCTATTGCTTGATTGAACAGCTATATGATAGTGAGTGAAGTTGGAGGGCAAAAAGTTAGTTAGATAAGACGGGGAAATGTTTCAGATGCAGGGTTTTAAGGTGGACATAAATAAACGCTATGAATGCCGGTGTAGCACGCACATGAATATAAGGCTGAATGGGTCGGAGGCTACAAAGATGGAGGGTGGGGTTTGAAAGAGGTTGAAGATGGAGCTTAAGTTAATGGTGGTGCGGTTGTAGTAGAGGTCGTCCTAACCAAGTTACTTGCCTGTCCATCTCATCTGACACTTCCTGCTTCAACTAAAGCCTTAAATGCTTAGACCCAGAATTAGGATTAAGATTGTTTCATTCGGTTTTTTATTTTCTTTGATTTAGTTTGCCTATTTTAAACTCGGTACACAACAAATATTCAAACTTTTTTTTTTTTTAATTTTATTTTATATTTTGAGGTGTATATTATAATGAGTGGAGGAATATTTTAAACACATTATATCATATTTAAAACAGAGAAGATTCGAACGTACAATTTATTAAAAATTATAATAAATATATTATAATGGACAAAAGTTGATGCAAATGCATAAAAGGGAAGTATAATGTTAGTTTATTTTGGGTGATTTGAATATAATGAATTATATTTATTTATTGGTTTGAAAATGAGATTAAATGGTGATGGTGGACCAACACCACATATACCACACATCCATCTAATAATTGCATTGTGGAAAAAGTTTTTCCACCTCAGTTTCCCATCCAAGCTTTGTGGACCCCATGTTTGATATGCATCTAAAGGATGAAAATAAATATATAATAGGTGTGAACAACCGCATCCATTAATTTTAAGATGATAATTATTTCATAATTGAAAGATAAGAATTAATATTAAAAAATTCACTTAAATTGAAAGCAAATGGGAAGGGAAGAGAAGGAAAAGAACAGGGTAAGTAGTTGAAAGAAGGAAAGAAAGGAAGAACAATGTAGAATTTATAAGAAAAGTGGGGGCGTGGTGGAAATAAAAATAAAAATAAAAATAAAAATAATATATGGGGTTTTAAGGGTGTGCTACTTTTGGGGAGCAGAAACAAATGGGCCCTATTCCTCCTCCACCCAATTATTTCCTCCATTTCCATCTCTTCCTCCTCTCTTCACCTTCCAGCATCTCCAGCATCTCCAGCATCTCCATCATCTCCCATCATCTCCAGCATCTCCATCATCTCCCATCATCTCCATCTCCATCTTCCCCCTCCTCATTTCTTCATCCATCTCTTTTCACAAATTTAACCAACTATACAATAATACAAACTAATTCAATCTTCTTCTTCTTGTTCTTCTTCTAAAACCCAAGAGAAACCCAAGAGATTCTTCCTCTCTCTCTCCCCCTTCTCTTCCATTTTATATTTTCCTCTCTCCTCTCACAATGGTGTCCGCCATGCTTTTCTCTTCCTTTTCAATTTTTACTTCCACAAATTAGTGACTTCTTGTCTTTTCATAAACTGATTCTGCATACTCATCTCCCAAGGGATGGTGGGTAACCTGGGAAACCTCTGCTAGGGCATGAAAACCATCGACGCTCTTTCCGCCATCAGAGCTCCCCCTTTCCCCATCCGTGAGTTCATTCTTACTTTTTTCGCTTTTTCCATACCCATTTTACCTTAATATCAATTCATGCCTCCCATGTTTTGCCTTCTCCCTACTCTTTTCTTTTTCCCCTTTGAACTCTTTCGACCCTGCGTTTATCTTCCATCTTTCCTTTTCTCTGCATTTTGCTCACTTACATTCTCCACTGCCGCTCTTCTCTTCGACTTCCACTCTTCTTCTTCTTCTTCTTCTTCCTTTTTTTTTTTTTTTTTTTTTTTTTTTTTTTTTTTTTTT